AGGCTCACCCATCTCTTCTTTTGAACTCAGTTTCCTCCCTGAAAAAACAAAAGCCAAGTGCAGTAGAGATGAAATTTACCCTTAAAGTAGCAATAAGTGTGTTTGTCTACTTCTGCTTATGCATTCTATGTATATTGACATTTTAAGAGTATCAGACAAATTATACCATAACCTCCCTGCTCTCCCCTCAAGTCACAGATAAGCACGTTGTTACTGAACACTGTCAGAGGTACATTCTCCATAGTAACTGATGCAAGCGCTAGCACTGCTATCCTACCTGCAAACATTTCTCCTTTCATTATTAATTTGAAGTACTCACTTGAAATGCATAATGTTTTCATTGCTTTTAGAATGGGACTATAGCCTTTCAGTTAAAGGCTAGAGGCACTGCTATAAATAAGTAAACTGCACAGCTCAAGACCACTGCAGAGGTTTCCATACAAACAAGGATGAAAATAGTACCCAACAGTTCTAGACTGACCAGAACTCCTGAACAGTGTTTGCTCAAGCCTGCCAGTGAACTAATTTCGTTGCATTCTCAGACCAAAAATTCAATACCTCCTAAAGACAAATGAAGTATACAGATTTGCATGCTGAATTTCAGTCTCTTCATTGCAGAGCTTATCTGGCCTGGAAGCAAAAATTAATTTTGCTATCTTCCACAAGCCAAGAATAAAAGTGTTCCCAGCACTCTCCAGTGAGCAAATACGAGTTACGCTGTACTCCCGTCTCGGTAAGTGCTGTCCTGTTTACGTCTTTCATGGTAGCTGCACAGAAAGCAAAACTCTTGCAGTTATTTGCAAGAGCTCTCCAATCCCCTCAATGGCAAGCACGCCTCAGTACCTTCTCATTTCACAGACACAATCCTCATGCTTTTTGCTCCAGGTTACATTAAAATGCCATATAAATGGCATTCTACAATACCATGTAATAATATAGCATTGGGGATGCATTTCCCCCTCTCTACTTCCTCCTTAACTCAGTCAGGGAGATAAAAGATCGGGAAAATAGTTCTATCATAAAATAATAATAGCAAAATCTCTAGATTTTGAGCTTTTTCCATTTCCCCAAATTTTTTCAAAAGAGAAGGAAAGAAAAAACAATCCTACCTCCAAGTACTGAGCTAAAGGCAATTCTAGTCTGTGTTTTATCTATGACATCTAAACCAAAGGCCAAATATCCAAAAAACGCCGTAACTTAGTAGCTGTGGTAGATGCAGTAATTTGTAGTTGGTTTTAATCTGCAAGTTTGAGAACTTATTTTAATATATGAAGCTATCAGAACCGGTTAAGCCCACACAAAACATTTTGGTTTCAAAGAACCTTCCATTCTCACCCTAGAAAATCCTTTTTTTTTTTATTTGAAAAGTCCTCATCAATCCTATTAGTGACACCCTCATCTATTACAGTACTAAATTTTCACACTCTGCCATGTTACCACCACAAACTTGGAGGCCAAAACTGAAACTCAAATCCCCAGAAATCAGAACAATTCAATTATTGGCTGCTACACCCCTTTTTACTGTTTCCCTTCCAGAGGGGGGTTAGGTCCAACCTACATTCCTGTAGCAGCGGCTACAGAGACCACCTCACCTCCAGGAAACGCACACCCAAAGCTCCAACAATTATTCTACGTGCCAATCTGGTTTGCTCCTGCATTTGTTTTTACCAGCCCCACCTCAGATCTAATTTAGCTGTCTGCTTCCTTTCAGGGCCTATGTTCAGTTTAAGACATGGAGAAGTCAAAGTGGCCAAATAGAGCAAAACCCCCAGATCCTCCCCAGAACACACACACCTCTCACTATTTATAGAAGCTCTTATATACCATTTGGTCCGATATCTTCACTCCCACCTTTCCCCAATTCTTTCACTGCATATGAAATGCTACTTCCAAAATCACAGAATCACAGAACGTTAGGGATTGGAAGGGACCTCAAAAGATCATCTAGTCCAATCCCAAAATACACATCCAAAATACACATTCCTGTTGCTCTTCCCCTATAATCACATCTGCATTTAGCATCCCTATGCTGCAACTGGAGAAAAGCTTAAGTAAAACACATCTGAGCCACTAAAGCAAAATGATAATACAGTCCTTTCTCCCATTAATTTGGTGGAGCCGTTTCCAGTACCAGTAACATACCAATGTTTATATTTTATTTCTGCTTTTCAGCATGATGGTTATTATTCAAGAAGGTACATACCACGAGCTAAAATATTAGTTGACTAAGCTATACATTGAGAAAAAAGCCTTAATCTTCTCTACTGCTGATAACTACAATCTGCTGATGCAAACCAAGTTCATGCAGTTCACACATTTTCTGATTATATTTGAACAGTTACACCACAGTAGCCAAGTTTTAAAGTATGCACTGTGCTGCCTTTTATTTTTCTTTAATTAATTGAGTAGTATTAGCTTTTACCATTTTTCCCCCAGTGGACTCTAGTAGAATGTAAGCATTTTGGGCAGCGTAACAAGAGGCTAGCTTTTACTTTCTGCTGTTTAATTTAAGCTAGGAAGAATTTGCTTTTGCAGCTTAAAGTCCCTGCCCCGTAGTTGGGATACTTCTGCATTGGAGCAATAAGAAGTTTCTTGCAAGTTTGTCTGTAGAAACTTGTTTCTTGAAAACATGATCTATAGGGAACTGCTGATGCATTTTATTAGTTTCAACTAGCCAGGATAAGCATGGCCTACACAGAATCTGGTTGTCTGAGAAGCAGTCCAACCACATAATCTAACACCATATCCCATGGTTGACGGTTCCCTTCCCTGCAAGCCCTTGAAACAACTAAGGTCTGCACTCTGTACATTTATAACCTCTCACAGAAAATGCATAATAGAACAACAAAAGTTTTGAGAGGCAGACGTATCTATTGGAGTTCTCTTTCCAGCTCTACCACTGAGTTGCCTCCTGACACCTCCTTGCAGACAGAAGTTTCTTGCTAAAAGTTGTGTTTCGTGATGTGTGGCTGCTGAGGGGACAAGCAGACAGGAAGAAGAAAAACAGCTTCTAGTTTCTTTTTCACCACCTCACAATATTACAATGTTTTAGAACTTAAGTTTGTCCACGGCACCAGCATAAAGTTAAGAAATGCCAAACTACAAGGCAGGCACTCGCTATTCTTGAGCTCACTTTACCAAAATAATTAGTACAATCTTCCTCTGTGTCTATTCCAACAATCCTCTGCATGCCAGCAACTCAGAAAATGGCCTAATAATAAATACTGAAAACACAGCAAAAGGACAGTCTCCTAAAGTTTACTTTTCCCAAATACAGAAAACCTTCATGAAGAAGCAGCCAAAAAGACCAGTTTGGGCTCCATTCCAGCTTGCTGGCATAATACTTGCTCTGTTAGCATTACAGCCAACACTTCAAAATTTGGCTGACACACCCAGGAAAGTGGCTCCCAACACTCTGAGCGTGTTTATACAAATAGCCAAGGCTGAGTTTACACCAGCATTCTTAGGATCTGTTTGCTTGTTTTAAAACAGAGAGCCTGATTTAGGGATTTCTGCATCACAAAACTAGGGCAGGAAAAATAATTCTCTAATACTGACAGCTGAATTTTCTGTTGTGAAGATGGGATGAGCCCACCTACCTTTATTCAACCTTCAAAGAAAAAGTTGTGCTCCTTTATAGGTGCAGTTTCACTTAACACATATTTAAGTCTAACTGAACTATTGCCAAAAAATCCAGCTTCAGTCCTGTTACTGTATTATTCCTTGTGTACATCCTGCTTCCCTGTGTTGATTCAAGCAGATGCAGAATGAGCCAAGTTAGCTTTGCTGATCCAAAAGGAAATGGACCAAAAGAGCAGACATTCCCATCCAGAGTAAATGCAACTTGCAGGCACACACCCCCCAAAACTGCCACGTTACACACATCAGGATGTTTCACTTCTAAGGCATTTTTAAAAGCATGGGACAAGAGATCTGGAAATGCAGTGTATTCATCAGACCTGAGGATAATTCTGATGGGAAGGGATCTCAGGAGGTCATTCATCCAGGAGATGACAAGACAATCTACTTACAACCAGGAGCTGTAAAGGTTGAGTGACCTGTTAAGGTAAATGAAGCCTAAGAAAGGCTCAGCAACACATTCACAACAGAAAAAAGGGAAAGGGAGGGGGGCAAGGAAGCTTGGCTATCCAACTTTTGTTGGTTTTCTTAAACCACTATTCACTTCCACTCAACAGGCAAACTGGATCAGCTCCAGTTTAATCAGTACTACACCTACCAAGATCACTATATTGCCCTAGCAAGATGAAGGAAACTGAAAAGACAGCAAGGCATACAGGATCTTCCACAGAGATGCAGGAAGCACAGTAAACTTAAGCCATTCACAACACAATAAGGAGTCTTACAGACTCAGGTCTGCCATGGAAATGATGCTGCTCTGGAATATTTGCCTCAGTTAACCTAGAAAAAGCACTCATGCAAGCATTGCTATCATATCAGTTACACAGATTATCCTTATTTTCTTAAATCAGTAATGTCTGGCATTTACCCACTTTGTTTGGACATAAGACTGCATTGGCAGAGCCTGCCAGGCACATGGACTTACAGTCTTGGAGTCAGAAGCACTCCTGTTCTTTGCCCACACAGCACACACGCAAAGCCACCACTGACATCTGAATTTTCAGAGCATCACTACATTACACATAATGCAAATAAACAGCCTTATAGCTGCACTGCTCACTACAGTCCTAAAGACCTCTCATTTCTGAGGCAAACAAGACAAGAAGGACGTGATACTAACTTTTGCTAATCAAGAGTGGATTTTAATTGTTTCTTCATTTAAAAAAAAATATACCAGAGAATAGGCTGTAAATCCTTCACACTTGAGGGAGTCTATTATTTTAGACCAAACACTCCTCAATAAACCCCATTTTTTGTACACTGCTTTGGGAAAGTAACACAATTTAGATACTACTGCCAAAATTGCTAACACATCTACCCCAGCAATTGTTAAGTAAGTTTTACCCCGCTGTGTTACTCACTGCCTGGTGGATGTCAGCCTTCACTTCTTCACTCAGCATTCCCTCAAACACAAAGGAATCACCAAATTTCTCTGCCTATAGAAAAAAGAAAAGATTCAAGTATATTATCAAAGGAATGTCATTCTTAAAATGCCATGCACATTTACAGCTTCATCGTACTAAGGATAACAAAATTCTTATAGTAATTTCGAGTTCTCTTTCAAGGAAGCTATTTTGGAACGGAAGAGAAGGCATTTTATCTCTGGATGTCACTGTTCAACAGTCACTAGACAGATGGCAGCTCACAGAGCTGCTGCAAATATTTTTACTTCTATTAATTAAAATGGAGTTCCAATTATCCCAAGTGCTTTAAAATCCTGCAGTCAATAACCTAACATTCAAGGGCATATTTTACTTCTCTTATTTTTCCTTTGGGAATCACAATAAAAGACTTAAGCCTTGTCCCTTACTGCTCCTTCGTCGTCATTAGCACCGTGTTTTAAAGTGTTGTCACTACAACAACAGAAGAGTTAAAGTAATCCAGTCATTGTATCTAGCATTATATAAAGCCAAAAGAAATAAAAAATACAAACTATTTTAATGAATTATAGCACACGATACCAACATAGGGGATTTTTCCTTTGGTAAATTAAGTGAATTGATACACTAGGGAAGTCAAAAGATGTAATCGAACTTATTTGCCCTTCTTAGTTTCTCCATTTTATTATAGGCATTCAAAGACTGAGAATGACCACGATGAGCTGCTTCTGCATGCTCAGAACTCTTCAAGAGCCACAACTTGAAATAAGAATCCCATTCACCTCACAACTTGCAAGAAGTTTTAGCATATGACCAAAATCTTTATACATTCAGTTTCAGAAAGGAAAGAGAAGAAAAAAAATAACAAAACATACCACTTTGTTTTCTCTCCTGACCAATCTTAAAGACCCAGAGAGAGGCAAATAGGTTTATCACCTAAAAGACCACAGATTTCAGTCTGAAAGCCTCCATCAAGGGCTTGTTGTGTTTTGTTTGTTTGTTTTCTGAAGTTTGTTTAAAAAAGAAAATACTTTTGATTCAAAGAGATAGCTGTACATCTGGAGAATTTTTTTCTTCAGCTTTCAATTTACTTTCAAGTTTCATTTGCCACTGGAGTTCAGTCTAGTCCGTAATAGAAAAAAAAAATAAATTAAAATACCCCAAGAAGTAGGTTGGCTCTGTTTATGTGCAGTAAGTAATATGGATATTATTTAAACACACAAAAACTTGCTTAGCTGCATCCTAAAAAAACCTGCAGAATCAGTGCTGTTTACTCTAACTCTGAGTTTATTTTTCCAAATCCAGTGTAAAAAGGGGCCCGATGTGAGGGAGGAGGGGAGAAAAGGTACGTGGAGCACCCAACTACACCAGCTGAGCCATGAGGTGCTGTCTGAAACACTGTCTGATGCAGCGCTGCATTCAAACACCACTGCGCAGCTGCTCATTCCAGAAGCTGTTTGCAACAAGTGAGCCCTGTTCAAACTCAGAATTGTTAAGCAACCTTTTTTTCATAATTACTGAGCTAAGAACTTTAAAACAGAAATAGTGCCACGGATAAAAGAAGCCCTTCATCCACCCAGAAGGATGCTGTCTCCCAGATGAGAACCAGTTTATCAAGTGAATTTAGCAAAGTGCCTCCTTTGAGACCTGATCATTACTGAGGATTCTATTTGCCTAAAAGGCCTGTCAGGGCTTTATAAAAGTTGCGTAGGAACAGTCAACTGTCAGGAAAGATCAGAGCCTCAGGCACAAGTAGCTTCTTTTTTGGAAGAACCTTAACATATTCTTTCTTAGACCATTGTTCCCAGTAACATGCACAAAACTATTATTATACGTGCTATTATATCTTCTTTAGACAGCAAGGCTTTCTACTGCTCAGCTCATTAGCAAATAGTTGCACTGAAGTAGCCTGCAGTCCCCAGCTATCACAGATTCCTGAATCCCTTCTCTCTGTTTCTCTAAAATAAGGAAAATTTAATAACATAGTTGTACTGATATAAAGATGTCCTAGGACCTAAAGGTCAAAAAAAAAACCCAAAACCAAACCTCAAACAAAAACAAACCAAAAAACCCTGCAGAGACCTTCAGCCATCTGTTTGCTTCACGCAGGCTGCCTCAGTCATACTGCAGGAAGATACTAGCTCAGAAACCAAGACACGTAGCAGTACATTTAAATGCTCTTTCAGACCCCTGGGCAGCAAGGCAAGACGATTTAATGTCTCCACTGCTTACATCAGAAATATTCTAGTATGCAAATCCCAAGCAAGTACTGCAAGATCCTTGAAAACAAATAAAACCCTAAGTTTTTAAGAAGGATTTTGCTAAAACATAAAAAGATGACAGAAGACTATACATGTTTCCACCTTACCTCAGTAACGTACCCAGTAGAATTCACAAATCTCTCAAACTCCTCATTGCTGACCTCAAACTGATCCATGTAGAAACTGTTAACGTGGACTCTTCTAGCAGGCCATTCTCCATCCTGCTGTATTTCAGGCTCATCAGTGCCCATCGTGAACACTCCCCCTGGAATAGCGACCATCTGCAGAGAAAACACCATCCAAAAGATTATGAAAATGAAAGACTGAAAATCCCTTATTGGTCTTACTCCTCTTTCACCTCATTTTTAGAAAAACTTTTGCTTTGAGCAGCATTTCACTGACAAAAACGGCACAACAAAACGGCAACAGTGGCATCCTGATCACCACCTGTTTGGAAGAAATAGCAAGCAGAACTTAAATTGAGAACAAAATCCCCATTTGTGGCTCTTTCTACATGAAGTCACGGTAATTCAGAAATTTTGCTGAGGGTAATGCTTGTGCTCCAATAAGGAGAAACATGTTCCCCCACTGTACTGAAGAGCCAAGAAACCATCCAGAGTCCATTCTGTTCATTTTCAGGTGAGGAATTTTGTAGGAACTGATGTAACATGATTTAGATGAAAAAGCAGGTTCTCAGAACCAAACAGGAGCTTTGTACATATAGCTATTTTGCAGCACAGCCTAGATTATAGGACTTTGATTCCTCTATGCTCATCTTTTTGTTTGTTTTTTTCCTTGCTTTACAAGATTCTCTTCATAAAGTTCACCACTTTCACCAAAACTGGATGCCCACACTGACTCACAAACCAGGAAGACAAAAAGAATCATTAGTTACCTTCCAGCTTCTGGAGTTTGCTGTTATTTATGTAGTTATAGCATATGAAATGATCAGTAAATAAGCTGACATCAGCTACTCGGCACCTCTGTCTATTCTTAAGAGAATGTGGAGTATTTGACAAAACCTTACATATCCAGTTTCATTGTTTCTTCTCCACTGCAGATCTTTTGTTTGGGTCTCTCTCAGCGACACTTAAAATGCACACAACTTGCAAAAGGCCTCTCAGAAACACTACAAATACTTTTTCCTTGGAGCTAACCACATTTGAAGCTAGCTGCATCCTCATAACTTTCACCACTAAAAAGAATCTGAGCACTTACAGATCGCCTTTAAATGAACCCATAAAAGGGCTTCAGGATAAATTTGCTTACATTTTTTAGGACTTAGGGAATGACAACGTGGTACAAACTCACACCACTTCCTTCCTTCCAATCTCTTTCCAACCCACTGTAGCTAAAACAACTCCTTGAAGCAGTCTTCAAAGCAAGATTCAGAGCTGAATGTAAGTGAGCTGCTGTCTAAAAGCAGGTGAAAAATTAACTCTCACTTTACAGCCTAGCATACATTTCCAAAACCTGAAGAATATAAACAGATTGTACGTTCAGCTAGGAATGTCCAAAGGATACCTTATGAACCTGCTGCTTCTGCAGCCCGCTCACACCGTTACAGCTGCGGCTTCTGGCATGTCCACTGACATGATACCACTATTGATACCATGGGATTACCCTCCCCTACCAAGGCTCATTTCACAGCTCCACCTCCTGTTTGGAAACAGCACCTTCCTCTGACAGCCAGCTTCATCACAGGATGCAAGGCTCAGGTGTCTGACAGCTCCTCAGCTGAGGATGGTAGAATACAACACTAGGTGAAGAACTGATGTTCTGCATAGGCATCACATTCGCAAACCACATTTGTATCGTTAATTAAGCAGCTTTAACATCCAGTTTTAAAATGCAAGTAGCTCACACTGAGGAATCTCCAATAAATATCAAAGTTGAACTACACAGGCAGAAATCCAACAGCAGAGGCTGACAGATACATCATTTACTGTATTAGGTAGAAAGTACAACAGTAATTGTGCCCTCATCTTCACAATATTACCTAGCTAGCGCAGGCCGTTCAGTGCCCTCGAAGCTCAGCTTCAACAACAAGGGCCACATTTGCCTGTAAGTATATTTACATAGAAAGCATTATGATAATGTAGAGCACACCCACTAAAGTACTAGTACCCCAGTCCTAAAAATGTAGTGGAAATAAGTAATCTCATTCGTGATTGAGGTAGAGGCTAATTTTTCCCTTACTTCCCTTTTGCTAGAAATGCTTTATAGCTAAGCATAAACAAGTTATGTCATAAAGATCGCTTAAAACCCTGTAGCAACTCGTTTTCATTATCTGCTGATGAATTTGCTAACTGTCTTGCATAAGAGTCAAATTATTTTTTTACCTTGCAGCAAGACCCGCAGTGAAACACCAGAATTTATGACATGAAATGTAAATCAGTGACATAGAGCGCAAGTGCAATACGGATTATTTAATTCACACCCTTTAAATATTCTCCAGTTTCTTAAGTGCAGCCTGCAATAGTAAAGTGATAATCACCACTGTGCATCCTTCTCTTAGTAAGTTTGCACATCACCTGTGTGACAGTTTTTTTCCCAAGCTGACGCAGCTTCCCAGTGTTACAGCACCAAGAATCAATGCGAGGCAGCCTCTCACATTTCCACTATTTGCAAACCATCTCACACAAGAATAAGACCTAAGTCTGCCGTTATATAATTTTTGGCTGCCAAAACTTATTATCACCTTTCACAAAATGAAAGAGCAATTCCATTTCTAATCATTGAAGATATCTCACTTAGTGAGCCCAAAGCCACAACAGTGAGACATTTGGTCTCCAATGATACAAAAAGCCTCAGCGTCCCTTCGCAGTAGGCACCGTCATTGCACATGAACCCACTTCAGCACTACCTTCATGAAGAAGGCACATGCAGCTCTGAGTGGTGTCTTTCAGAAGAGCAGCAGCAACAAAAATAGAACGAAATAAGCTATTAAAGAGATTTCCACTTGAAGAGAACCTGAAAGGCTATCTAGACATGGATACATAAATGATGGCTTTGCCAAAATACACACAAGAAATCCCAACACACAACTTGTCAGTGTTTCAGTTCCACTGATTCCAACACCGACCTAAAAGAGACAGGGAGGAAGAAGGGGAATCAGAGCCGCAGTAGCACCAATATTCACCAAGTAAGGGACTGCACTAACAGCACCCACCTCCCCAGGCCATACAGCAGGAGACAGTCCCACTCAGACAGGTACTCTGGCATACACACACTTTGTGTCAGCCAGTGCACAGCGTGGGGAGCCCCGCCAGAACAACCAACCAAGAAAAACACCTCAAATCGGTTTGTCTCTATTCAGCTTTGCTGAGGGAAGAGCAGTCAGGGCAGACACGGGTAGGAACACAGTGAAGACCATGAGAACACTGGCACCGCTACCCAGGCCTCTCTCCATCTTCAGGAGCACAAGAACGGCCCCGAGAGCTCTCTGAGCAGGAAGCGCGGGACGGACCAGCCGAAGCACCGTGAGGTGCCCTCAGAGGCA